TGCTGCCCCCGCGACCCGGCCTCGGATAAAGCGGATGAAGATGGATGGATAGATGGTAACTGATTAAGCAAGAATCAAATTTGGTTAACTTGACTCTAATCCTTCTTGGGGACCATGAAGCATCACATTTCCTGTCTTAGATAAATAAGACAGCCTGCCTCCTCATCCTTATCTTGCCTCCATCCTGCTGTCATAACCACTGAATGCCAACCTATTTAGACAAGTGTCACCCAGGTAGCCTCTAATTATCCCGCCCTTTGCCATCTGCTTCCCATGGGTCCAAAACAAATGCTTACACAGCTCGTGTTTATCTTGTCACATCAGTGTAATAAGACCACTGCACAAGTTACAAAACATAAACAGACCCCAGCCCTATATTTAATATTCCTCACATTATATATGATACTGTGTGCAATATGGGGTATTTAAGTTGCCTCCTCTAAGCCTTTTAAGCTCTGTGTTCATTTTGAAGTTTACAGATGGTTTACAGAAAACGGTTTCTTTTTGTTCCTTGTAGTCTCACAACAGGAGAAAATCAAGTGGAGAATTAAATTTAGAAAGTAAGCCTGACAGGTGCTTGTTTCCAGGTTATAACAGCCGTCACTGAGGGAGCAGGCCATGTTTGATGTCTAATTTAGTTCTCCGTAGGCAGAAATGAAGGGCTTTTTAATGAATGGGGATGGCAGAGAGATGATTACAATGCACGGAAATAACTTTATATGGCAGAGTATAACCAGTCTACTCTCTCTCTCGCTCTTTTTAATTCCATAATTTGTCTTTGATTAAAGTGCACGCCTCTCAGTGTGGGATTTGTTTTCCATATTAGGCCTTTCACAGTATTAGCTCACCTACCAGTGTCTGAAAAGTTAAAGGAGCCACTCTCTGTATAGGATGATTTTTATAAGCAAAATTCTGTCTCGTTTGTACCATTGTAAAGGAAAGATAATCAGTAACTGTATAACTGAGCATCAACACTGCATTTATCAGAATCAGAATCAGAAGTATTCTGATTCTGATTCTGATAAATGCAGTGTTGATGCTCTCATATATATGTTTGGTTCAAGGAATACTCGGTAAATATTGTGTTTTTATGAGTGGGGCTTGTGGTTTCATAAGGACTAGGTCATCAAAAATGATCCTGCTGGACCACTTAATGTATAAAGTGAATACTTATCTAACCTGAAAACACTGACTTATTGATTTGTTCTTAAATGGGCTAATTTACTAAATAATAATTTGTCTTTTCTCTAGATTTAATGCTATGGAGAGATCTTATTGTGGTAATATTCGTGAATGTGTGTGTGTTTCACCAGGTGTGGCTCCTGTCGGTGCTGGAGGCAGTGAAGGTGTCTCCTCTCATAGAGAAAGTCAGTGACCACAAAGACTTCAAGAAGCTGCTCAGGACGAGAACAAATGTTCTGGTGCTCTACACGGAAACAGGTCAGAGAAGGCAGCCATCCCGTCGTGATCGGTATACCATATATGGGTGCAGATTTTTCCACAAACACGCACACGACAAATTCACTCATTTAGTTTTTGCTGCTGTGTCTGTCAAAGGAGGGGTTGGGGATAAACAATCGTGTTAATGGCTCGTGGATAATGCCGGTATTATCTCAGTAACTCTCAAACACTGTCGCTGTAGAGGTTGTTGTGGAGTGCCGGAAAACAACATGCATTTCATACACATGCATTGTGTTAACAAAAGTGGTAACTATGGCTACACAGCTATGGCCAACATGATTATCGCAATTATTTTTGAGCAGTGTTGAGATCAGCATTATTTGTCATGATTATCCATTGCTTTTTAGTGTGATACAAATGTCACACAAGCACAGCAGCACTTTCACATCCATGTTGTGCCGCATTCCCGCTAAATAAAACCGGTCCCGTTTAGTGGACACGCGTCTTTTGGGGAAATGGAACGTGGCAACGTGGGTGACGTCAGTGCATCTTTGCGAGCTGACGCGCTGCACAGACTGGCTTTTATGGATTTGATGTGCAACCGCTGCATTGTTTTCCTTTGCCTTCATTCATTCACCAAGTTCACATGGATGAGTGAGTTAGTTGTATTGCTTTGCACTGCAGGCACAACTCTCCACCACTGTTTGGATACGATTTGTTCCTGATTAACACCACTTGCATTTCCAAACAACACATGGTGATCGCTTCTGGGGACAAGGTCTTCAGCTTTTGCTATGACAGACATTTGATTGATTGATTGATCGATTTTGTATGACTAGCTCTGTGTTATATCACTGCAGTTAAGGGTGCCTAGCAAACTTTGCACTAAACAATGCAGGGAACAGCTGTGACTTGAGTTTTCAGTATCACCAGATTGTGTTCATTTAATTGTGGGAAGCCAAATATATCATTAAGAATACAATTTTATTAATTGTGCAACCCTAGTGATAACCATCATGAAATTGCACGTTTTAGCATATTTTATGATTTGAGATTGAGGGCGTGCAATGTCATGTTATTGTCAGAGAAGGTAAGAATGAAATTTGCAATTTCCGGAAGCCTTAGTTACTAGTTACTTAGTTACTACATCGAAGTGTATTATTTTTAAGAGCATCCTAAATTGTGTACAGTCAGATGCCTCTTAAGAGCTGTTTCCTTCAATTGTGGGTGTGTAAGTGCAGCTGATGCGCAACATCCCGACAATTCACCTTCAGGGGTTCAAAAAGGTCAGATGCACAGAGTTGGATTAAGAGAACTTGAGGGGTGCGTGCCCATTAACTGCATGTGCCGCTGATTGTCTTTTGTTATGATTTTTGCTCTTGTACGTGGAAACTGTCTGATTTTTGTAGAAGGAAAACACCAAATTAATTAAAATTCCTTTAATCGCCCGCTCTAATTAGGAAGTGCTTTTGTGGAGTGGCACTTTGCCCAAATTCGATAGCATTCATTAAAAAACATTCTAGCACAGTATCTTCAAATGGATTCAGAAACAATGTTTTGCCCAGCTTTAGCCTCTAGCTCGCTTTCAAAGAATGATCGCAGCGGTCTATTTCAATAAGGAAATTGGAAATGCTTATGGAATTAAAGAGTAGCTGTTAAATAGAAGCTAAAATGGTCAAATATAATTATACAGCTCTAAAGTACATTTTGCTTCCTGCTATCCATTAGCGAACACTTACGCACCCCAGCAGCTTCTAATTCCATTTTGCAGATTTCCAAGAAGGAGTTCTTCCTGTTCATAATAAAAAAAGAAGCAAACTTATATTGCCCAATAATCCACAGAGGACTCTGAGGCCTCTTTATAGCCACAGATATATTTCTTGATTAATGAGCCATATCAGCCTATATTAGCCCATTGGCTTCTATGTATCCAGCTGCGTGTCGGATTGATCACCGGCTGTAACTTCATCCAGACATTCCTGCGTTAAAGTCACTGAAGATTGCCCTCATGTAGGCCTCGATTATACCTCAAGGCACTTCACATTCATTCCCCCCTGAGTAAACACAACCGTGCCCTGTTCTGTGTTCACCACCAGCCTCTGCAGTCAGTCACATCCCTGCTGAGTTTTGATCTGGTTGGTATTCATCATCCTTAACGCTGTCAACCAGTCGGTACCTGCTCACCTCCTATTCTGTACAATACCCTGATCCTGAGTTGCCAGATGTTTTTGTTACCAACTCCAAGGCAGAACCCTGGGAAGTTGTGGCAGTGCTCCTACATCTAAATATAGTCTTTGCCTGGAGCATTGTGAGGAGCTGTTTTCTTTATGCAGTGAAAAACGCACATTTGGCTTCAGGGGAGTATAAAAATGATGTACTGCATTGCACAAGAGCTGGAATATTACACTTTGTTTACTTTACTCAAAGGGATGTACCTAACTTGACGTAGCTGATGAAAATCAGTAACATTACACAGTGTTATTCTAGCTGGTGCAGTTTATATCCCACTAGTTTCTCTTTCTTAACACAGAAGGCAAGCTGCACAGCTCAGCCATATTGTGAGATATTGTGCACGTTTCCGGTGGTTGCGAACGCTCTAAACTCGGCGATCCCACACAAACCTTGCTGTTGGGATCATGCAGTTGGTGCAAACATGTTTGCTATGCTTTCCCATTTGTCGCACCGTTAGAGAGTGCTTCATTAGATCCAGAGTCTTTGTGTCGCCTTATAATCCTTCCATCTCCTGTTTAGTCACACTATTGTAAGATTTTGAAAGCTGATGTAACTTAAACCCCCTCGCTGAGCCCATCCGTTGAAAGGTAGTAGAAAATGCTCCCCCGTCACCCTTCTAACCCAAACTCAGCGATGTCTTTCTTCGTCACTCGGTGCTTTAGAAAGACCGTGAGCTCCACTGTAACTCGATTCTTTTTCTCTGTGCTTGTCATGACAGTGTCTCCTGTGTCTCATGGCTCTGGGTTGTCCTGGGCTATTGAGTGGCTTTGGTAAAAAGGCTTGACTCCGCTTTATTCTGTGTCTGTAGCTACATCAGGGGACTCCCACCTGAAACTGCTTTCTGATGTCGCCCAGACGGTGAAGGGCCAAGGGACTATCGCCTGGGTCAACTGTGGGTAAGTAAGGGGGTGATTTGAAAAACACATTCTAAGACTTCTTTCTCTATAAGTCTAAGACTCCCTGACATTACAGACTGTTTTGTCCTAGAAATTTTCTGACAGCAACTATAAGGCCAGAGCAATTTACTCCTCCCAAGAGTGTCTCTGTCACCATCCATCTGCAGAATAATTTATGGCTTTTCCACTGGGGTGTAAATGGCCTCGTCTCACTGGTTCTACTGGCACAATCTGACAGGAGGCCACTCACTTATTAGAGCTATTGAAGTTTTTAGTCTAATGTATTACATCTCTTTACACCATTTTAGTTCTTCCTTTTCACTGGGTCTCTTTCTTTCTGTTTTCTTTGTTTGTTTTTTGCAAAAGGTAAATAAATGATAATCACGTCTCTTGCTTAAAGCTATGTGCTATTTCTCAGGTGAGGGCGCCACGTAATTATCGTTCATACAGTTTTTTTTCTCCTGCCTTTTTCTCTGCATTTCATTTTTTACCTTAAGTTTTTTGCATGTTTGAAAAAAATGGTTGCATTAGTCATGTGTGTAATTTCAATTTATTAGTCAATTCAATTCAATTTATTAGTTGATTTCATTGCTTAAAAATCAATTGATACTTGTGCCAATAACACAATTTTGGTGTTTTTAAAAAGTGCTAAATGCTGCCATAGTTTACCTCACGAAATATTTTTCAAACAGAGCTTCTCTCAGACATAATTACAATATTTGAAGAGCTTAGAGGGAAGTCTAAACTTAATAATAAACACAAACAAGTCATCTTATAAAAAAATCATCATCTAAGGCACAGGTCTCGAACTCCAGGCCTCGAGGCCCAGTGTCCTGCAAGTTTTTATTTCAATGGCTAAATTACCTCCTCAACATGTCTTAAGGTTCTCCAGAATCCTGGTAATGAACTAATCATTTGATTCAGGTGTGTTGAAACAGGGTGATAGCTAAAACCTGCTGGACACCCGCCCTTGAGGCCTGGAGCTCGACACCCCTGATCTAAGGAGATGAATCGAATCAGACTATTATAACTTTTTAATATCTCAATTGGTGGAGAATTTAGACCAGAAATGGGCTCCATAGAGGCAAAATTTAAAATCTGAAATCAGATAACGATACAACAAACACATAACAATGATTATAATATAGAAGATTAATGCGCATATATATATATGTATATATGTGTGTGTGTGTGTGTGTGTATATATATATA